ACTTTCCCTCTCTCTCTCTCTCACTCTGTCCCTCTCTAGTCGAATTAAAATAAATAAATAAATAAATAAAGTTAAATAAAATAATTCTTAAAACAAAAAACAAAAAAAACCTCAAGCTGGGTGTGTGCATGTACATGCCTAAGATTCTGAGAGAAGAATGGAGGATTAGGGATGATGGCCATCTCTTCCCACCTCCCCCCGGGGGATGATTTCTCACTTTCTGTTTCTCTGTCTCTCTCTGTTTTGCCAATGAGCACAAAAATTACTCTAAAAAAAAACAAGTAATACTTATGAATTATAAAATATTTTGAGAATCACAAAATGTATAAAGCAAAACATATGAAACTTTTGTGACCAGCTGATCGTGTAATTGTTACGTCACTGGAGTCCCATATAGTCAGCCATGGTTTGAGTCCCGGACCCGGCAGCTTAAAACTCATGCCAGGTGGTGTGTGTGTCCAAAATCCTGAGAGAAGAATGGAGGAGAAGGAATTACAGCATGGCCATTCCCCTGGGGGTGGTTTCTCGCTTTCTGTCTCTCTGTCTGTCTGTCTAGCAAACGCACATGCCCTATAGCAAAAAAATCTCTCCCTGTCCCCCCCAAAATATATATGTATGTGTATATATATATATATATACACACACACACATATATATATGAAACTTTTTACATTTGCTGCCCTGAGAAAATCAGTATTGATCATTTTTCTCAAGCATATAGAAATCTGTATAATTGAGATCACACTGAAAATATAGTCTTATATTTGGTTTCTCTTTGTTTTTGTTTCATTTTAAAATGCCTTGAATTATGAAATACAATTAGGGCATTAAGACACTTTTTTTTTCTTTTTTAAGGCACAATTTAACAAATAATATAAGGGAACCCAAAAAACAGTAGTTAAAAAAAAATTTTTTTTGGAGAGGTTTTTTTTGCTATAGGGCGCATGCACTCACCAGAAAGAGGCAGAGAGACAGAAAGCAAGAAATCACCCCCAGAGGGGATGGCCACACCTCAATCCCTTCTCCTCCATTCTCTCAAAATCTTGGGCACGCATGCACTTGCGCCCAGTGTGAGTTTAAGCCACTAAGTCCGGGACTCAAACTGCAGTCGGCTACATGGGAGTCCAGCAACATAGCCATTACACCAACCGCTGGTCCAGAAAAAATGTTTTTTAATAAAAAAAGCAAGAACAGAACATTGCCAAAGCCACATCATATTCCTCTTCCCTCACACAGATCACCCTCTCATATTTTTTTAAATTATTTTATTTAACTTTATTTATTTATTTTTATTTTAATCAGAGAGGAACAGAGTGAGAGTGAGAATGAGCAAGAGAGGGAGAGGGAAATTGAGAAAGCAAGCCGTTAGGTCTAGGACTTGAACCATGGTCAGCCATGTGGGAGTCCACACCCTTAACCACCATGCCACCTGCCAGGTCCTTACGCTCTTATTTCTCAGCAGTGGCCATGTTCTTAGCTTTTCCTCACAATTTCCTTACCACCATAGACAACACAGTTGAATTTTCCCCATTTTGACTTTTTTTTTTTTTAAGAATTATTTCATTTCGTTTATTCATTCATTAATCTTTAATTTAACCAGAGAGAGCGAGAAAGTGGGAATGCTAGTCTCTAGGTCTGGAACTTGAACTGCGGTCAGCCATGTGGGAGTGTCCAGCACCTTAACCATCATGCCACCAGCTGGTCCTGACCTTATTTTTTTTGATCATTCATTTTATTTTAATTTGACCAGAGAGAGGGAAAGTGAGAAAGCAAGCTACTAAGCCCAGGACTCGAACCGTGGTCAACCATGTGGGAGTGTCCAGCACCTTAACTACCATGCCACCTGCTGGTCCCCCCATTTTGACTTGTGTATAAAAATTAAATTATTAAATGTTTTTTTAGACAAGATCTCATTATGCCATCAGCTTCCTAAGACATTGGAATTATAGGTGCTACCACCATGCCTGACTGTCAACACTATGGTAGAGACTGAAAGACTGGAGGACATAAAAGTATTAAAAATTGTGGGAACCAGCAGTTGGCGTACTGGCTATGTCGCTGGACTCCCACGTAGTTGACCACGGTTCGCATCCCGGACTCGGCTTAAAACTCACGCCGAGTGCGTGTGCGTGTGTGCCCAGGATCCAGAGAGGAGAATGGAGGAGAAGGGATTGCGGCGTGACCATCCCCCCTGGGGGGTGATTTCTTGCTTTCTGTCTCTATGTCTCTGTCTGGTGAGCGCACGCGCCCTGTAGTGAAAATCTCTCAAAAAAAAAAAAATTGTTATGAACACTGGGAACAAAGTGGAAGGAGAGTGGGAGAGGGGAAGAGTGCAGGAAGGGAAATGTGGGGAAAAAATGGAGAAGTAAGTAATGGTTTGTGGCCTTTTGGTGATGTTGTGTATAATATTCCCAACCCGCGTGCTGTGTAATGTATATCATGTTGGGTAAAATCTCTTTACAAACTAAATGATCTATAATGATTGAAGGTATAAATAATAATAATTTAAAAAAATAAATATTCCCCTTATGCAGGGACCAGCAGGTGGCGTGGTGGTTAAGGCGCTGGACACTCCTACATTGCTGCCCAAGGTTCGAATCCTGAATCTGGTGGCTTGCTTTCTCACTTCCCCTCTCTCTCTCACTCTCAACCTCTGTCTCTCCCTGGTCAAATTAAAAAAAAAAAAATGAATGAATGAATAAATAAAATAAAATATATAATATAAAACAAAAAAGAAATGGGAGGATCAGCAGATGGTGGAGCAGTTATGTTACTGAACTCGCACATGGCCAACAA